ATTATAAGGTTCACTGTTATAACATTATTATAAGGTTCACCGTTATAGCATTATTATAAGGTTCACCGTTATAGCATTATTATAAGGTTCACCGTTATAGTATTATTATAAGGTTCACTGTTATAGCATTATTATAAGGTTCACCGTTATAGCATTATTATAAGGTTCACCGTTATAGCATTATTATAAGGTTCACCGTTATAACATTATTATAAGGTTCACTGTTATAGCATTATTATAAGGTTCACTGTTATAACATTATTATAAGGTTCACCGTTATAGCATTATTATAAGGTTCACTGTTATAACATTATTATAAGGTTCACCGTTATAGCATTATTATAAGGTTCACCGTTATAACATTATTATAAGGTTCACTGTTATAGCATTATTATAAGGTTCACTGTTATAACATTATTATAAGGTTCACCGTTATAGCATTATTATAAGGTTCACCGTTATAGCATTATTATAAGGTTCACCGTTATAGCATTATTATAAGGTTCACCGTTATAGTATTATTATAAGGTTCACCGTTATAGCATTATTATAAGGTTCACTGTTATAGCATTATTATAAGGTTCACTGCAATAGCATTATTATAAGCTTCACCGTTATAGCATTATTATAAGGTTCACCGTTATAACATTATTATAAGGTTCACCGTTATAGCATTATTATAAGGTTCACCGTTATAGTATTATTATAAGGTTCACCGTTATAGCATTATTATAAGGTTCACCGTTATAACATTATTATAAGGTTCACCGTTATAGCATTATTATAAGGTTCACCGTTATAGCATTATTATAAGGTTCACCGTTATAGTATTATTATAAGGTTCACCGTTATAGCATTATTATAAGGTTCACTGTTATAGCATTATTATAAGGTTCACTGCAATAGCATTATTATAAGCTTCACCGTTATAACATTATTATAAGCTTCACCGTTATAGCATTATTATAAGGGTTCACCGTTATAGCATTATTATAAGGTTCTCTGTTATAGCATTATTATAAGCTTCACTGTTATAGCATTATTATAAGCTTCACCGTTATAGCATTATTATAAGGTTCACTGTTATAGTATTATTATAAGCTTCACCGTTATAGCATTATTATAAGCTTCACCGTTATAGCATTATTACAAGGTTCACCGTTGTATCATTATTATAAGGTTCACCGTTATAGCATTATTATAAGGTTCACTGTTATAGCATTATTATAAGGTTCACTGTTATAACATTATTATAAGGTTCACCGTTATAGCATTATTATAAGCTTCACTGTTATAGCATTATTATAAGGTTCACCGTTATAGCATTATTATAAGGTTCACTGTTATAACATTATTATAAGGTTCACCGTTATAGCATTATTATAAAGTTATAAGGTTCACCGTTATAGCATTATTATAAGGTTCACTGTTATAGCATTATTATAAGGTTCACTGTTATAGCATTATTATAAGGTTCACCGTTATAGCATTATTATAAGCTTCACCGTTATAGCATTATTATAAGGTTCACTGTTATAACATTATTATAAGGTTCACCGTTATAGCATTATTATAAGCTTCACTGTTATAGCATTATTACAAGGTTCACTGTTATAGCCTTATTATAAGGTTCACTGTTATAGCATTATTATAAGGTTCACCGTTATAGCATTATTATAAGCTTCACCGTTATAGCATTATTATAAGGTTCACTGTTATAACATTATTATAAGCTTAACTGCAATAGTATTATTATAAGGTTCACTGCAATAGCATTATTATAAGGTTCACCGTTATAGCATTATTATAAGCTTCACCGTTATAGCATTATTATAAGGTTCACTGTTATAACATTATTATAAGGTTCACCGTTATAGCATTATTATAAGCTTCACTGTTATAGCATTATTATAAGGTTCACCGTTATATCATTATTATAAGCTTCACCGTTATAGCATTATTATAAGGTTCACCGTTATAGCATTATTATAAGGTTCACCGTTATAGCATTATTATAAGGTTCACTGCAATAGCATTATTATAAGGTTCACCGTTATAGCATTATTATAAGCTTCACTGTTATAGCATTATTATAAGCTTCACTGTTATAGCATTATTATAAGGTTCACCGTTATAGCATTATTATAAGGTTCACTGTTATAACATTATTATAAGGTTCACTGTTATAGCATTATTATAAGGTTCACTGTTATAACATTATTATAAGGTTCACTGTTATAGCATTATTATAAGGTTCACTGTTATAGCATTATTATAAGGTTCACTGTTATAGCATTATTATAAGGTTCACTGTTATAGCATTATTATAAGGTTCACTGTTATAGCATTATTATAAGGTTCACTGTTATAGCATTATTATAAACTTCACCGTTATAACATTATTATAAGCTTCACCGTTATAACATTATTATAAGGTTCACCGTTATAGCATTATTATAAGGTTCACTGTTATAACATTATTATAAGGTTCACTGTTATAGCATTATTATAAGGTTCACTGTTATAACATTATTATAAGGTTCACTGTTATAGCATTATTATAAGGTTCACTGTTATAGCATTATTATAAGGTTCACTGTTATAGCATTATTATAAGGTTCACTGTTATAGCATTATTATAAGGTTCACTGTTATAGCATTATTATAAGGTTCACTGTTATAACATTATTATAAGGTTCACTGTTATAGCATTATTATAAGGTTCACTGTTATAGCATTATTATAAGGTTCACTGTTATAACATTATTATAAGGTTCACTGTTATAGCATTATTATAAGGTTCACTGTTATAGCATTATTATAAGGTTCACTGTTATAGCATTATTATAAGCTTCACCGTTATAGCATTATTATAAGCTTCACTGTTATAGCATTATTATAAGCTTCACTGTTATAGCATTATTATAAGGTTCACCGTTATAGCATTATTATAAGGTTCACTGTTATAACATTATTATAAGGTTCACTGTTATAGCATTATTATAAGGTTCACTGTTATAACATTATTATAAGGTTCACTGTTATAGCATTATTATAAGGTTCACTGTTATAGCATTATTATAAGGTTCACTGTTATAGCATTATTATAAGGTTCACTGTTATAGCATTATTATAAGGTTCACTGTTATAGCATTATTATAAGGTTCACTGTTATAGCATTATTATAAACTTCACCGTTATAACATTATTATAAGCTTCACCGTTATAACATTATTATAAGGTTCACCGTTATAGCATTATTATAAGGTTCACTGTTATAGCATTATTATAAGGTTCACTGTTATAGCATTATTATAATCTTCACCGTTATAGCATTATCATAAGGTTCACCGTTATATCATTATTATAAGCTTCACCGTTATAGCATTATCATAAGGTTCACCGTTATATCATTATTATAAGGTTCACCGTTATAGCATTATTATAAGGTTCACCGTTATAGCATTATCATAAGGTTCACCGTTATAACATTATTATAAGGTTCACCGTTATAGCATTATTATAAAGTTCACTGTTATAGCATTATTATAAACTTCACCGTTATAGCATTATTATAAGGTTCACCGTTATAGCATTATTATAAGGTTCACTGCAATAGTATTATTATAAGGTTCACTGTTATAGCATTATTATAAGGTTCACTGCAATAGTATTATTATAAGCTTCACCATTATAGCATTATTATAAGGTTCACTGTTATAGCATTATTATAAGGTTCACCGTTATAGCATTATCATAAGGTTCACCGTTATAACATTATTATAAGGTTCACCGTTATAGCATTATTATAAAGTTCACTGTTATAGCATTATTATAAACTTCACCGTTATAGCATTATTATAAGGTTCACCGTTATAGCATTATTATAAGGTTCACTGCAATAGTATTATTATAAGGTTCACCGTTATAGCATTATTATAAGGTTCACTGCAATAGTATTATTATAAGCTTCACCATTATAGCATTATTATAAGGTTCACTGTTATAGCATTATTATAAGGTTCACCGTTATATCATTATTATAAGGTTCACTGTTATAGCATTATTATAAGGTTCACCGTTATAGCATTATTATAAGGTTCACCGTTATAGCATTATTATAAGGTTCACCGTTATAGCATTATTATAAGGTTCACTGTTATAGCATTATTATAAGGTTCATCGTTATAGCATTATTATAAGGTTCACCGTTATAGCATTATTATAAGGTTCACCGTTATAGCATTATTATAAGGTTCACTGTTATAGCATTATTATAAGGTTCATCGTTATAGCATTATTATAAGGTTCACCGTTATAGCATTATCATAAGGTTCACCGTTATAACATTATTATAAGGTTCACCGTTATAACATTATCATAAGGTTTATTGTTATAGCATTATTATAAGCTTTACACTTCACTGCAATAGTAAGATTATTATCAAGTGTCTTCGAAAGGACTAAAGCCAGTCCTTTATTATTGGAATATTTCCATAAGGTAATAAAGTAATAATATTTTATTGCTATGTTTTCTGTCAGGTAATAATATTTTATTGGAATTTTTTCAGTCCGGTAACAATATAAATATTTTATTGGAATGTTTTTAACAATGGCTCATCATAGAAAGGTTGAAAGGTTTAGTATAAAGGTATAATAATAGGGACTACATAATACAAACAGCTATTTTATGCAAAATATCTCAGCACATATGATACTGAGAAACAATGTCTTTGAGATGTGTGTCAGTGTGTCACGTGTTGCCCATATAAGTTAATATAAAGACCATGTGTTGCCCATATAAGGATTGTGTCTGTTAGATTTGTGTCAGCACGCATGTTTATGACTGATGACTGTGGATCCTCGTGCCTCCGCAACTCAAACAATGTAAGAGTTTACCTTATATAAAGCGGCTAACCATATTTGTCTTATTTGAGGAAAGGAAAATTACTCTTTTACAAGCTATAAGAGTTTACAAATGAAGTATAATAACAATCAAACCTAGGGCATATTGGTCTTTTAGAATCCGGGTTTCAGCATCGTTTATTTCCTTTTGAAGCTGCAACTCCGCTGCTCCGAGTTCAGCAAACTTGAGGATTTTAATCAGAAGACTTATTTTAGTGTTCGTGTGGTCCAGTCCGAATATGTACCTGAAGTTGAACTACCATAGTTACTATGGTAACACTACTATATAACTTATAAGTAGTTACATATTTTGGTGTTCGTCGTGTGTAAACAGATTTTTAAAAAGATTTATTTAACTTACTTGAACGGTTTGTTTGGTGCAATCTTGCTGAGATCTATTTCCGTGTCTCCGATAATGTTATCTGAAATTCCTACTTCGGAGTCCCATAAACTGGCCTGTATAAATATCAAAATGATGCCCATATAAGGAAATGTAAAGACCACGTTAATAATTTTATCTGAAATTCCTACTTCGGAGTCCCACAAACTGGCCTGAATGGGCGAGCAAAAATATTAAAATGCGTATAAATAAAATGCGGAAATTTCTCGCCCTTTGATTCACTAATTTTAGCAATAATACGATTTATTTAACTATATTTAGTTATTCTAACCTGAAGCATATCTCCAGAAGTGCTGAGATAACGGAACTCAAAACTTTCTCTCCACTTAGGATTCAGAGTTGAAGGTATAACTTTGGTTTCAAACTGCTGATCGCTCAATTGCAGTCTGTAAGGTTGCAAAATAAAACCAACCTCTCGTTGAACCAACAAACGATAGGGTCCAGGACAAAACCATTCAATATTTTCTAGAACCAACTAAGTAGAAACTATAAACTAGAAACACTGTTGTCAGTATGTAAATTCACGATACAAGTGCAGGGAAGATACGAAATATTACTTATATCTACATAATGTTATACTATATTAAGTAATATCTTCTAAGGATCTTTATTTTTTGAGACAGCTACCAATAAACTAATAAAGATCTTAGGATTACTGTTTTCAGATATTTCGAAATTTGATATGGTTTATAACAATATATATACCTGATGAAGGGGTCACATGTCCCGTCGCTGTTCATGGGTGGGAGGTCCATACCTTCAATAACTGTAATCTGGATAATACCTGACAATGAGAACGTGTAAATAATAAAAACTATTGAATAACATTAACCGGGTTTGTAGTTCCCATCTCTCAGAAATATAAAATGCAAAAGTACAAACCCAACAGTCGCTCTTGCCCTTTAGTTCCAATAGATTTGATGTCGTTAGCCACAGAATTGTTAACGATTTCCACAAGATAAGAGAAAGTTAGTGTACCCACAAAATCCTGCCCGTCCACAGAAGAGCTGAAATGTTAGTCAGGCGGTTATTTTGGAGCTGTTATACTTATGAGGAGATTTTACGGTTATATGCGGCTGAAGTTATTGTGCAGTTTGTACTTTGTTATGCGGTTTTCAATCGCGCCCAAAAGTGTTTTAATTCAGTGCAAACGTCATCCGTTTTGGACAGAAAACAGATATAAACGAAATTATAATGATTACGGTAAAAAGTCATTAAAAACTATGTTCCATTTTCTATTTAATTCATTACAACTTTACTATTTATATAAGCACTCACGCTAAATTGATGGTAGTTGTATATCGGTGAAAGGGTGGAATGGATGCTAGATCCAGGTCAATATATCCGATCCTATCGTTTGCTCCAAAGATGTCATGATCCAAAACCTGAGTCAGTGTCATCCATTAGAATGATCGGTGAACGGTAATGTAAAGACCACGTGATGCCCATATAAGGAAATGTAAAGGTAACTCTGAAGCTCTTTAAAATTTCAGCATAATCGAAATTCTCACCTGTATTGGTTAACATTTTCGTTTTCATCCTGTATTCATGAACAGAAATCGTTCAATATTTGTATAACGAGTAAAAAAGTAGTTCTAAGAATCACTGAAAACATTAATACAAATGTACAATGTACATGGACAATGTACAATCGTACAATGTACAATCGTACAATGTACAAATGTACAATGTACAAATGTTACTTAAGATGTGAACTCACATGAATGTTCGCCAGAGCAGATCTGTCGTCAATGTGAAGGGTAAACTTCTCGTTCCAAACAGGGTTTATAGACTTGTTGATAACTTTACTCTTCAGTACAAGGTCCTTGTGCATGACTATCTCAACAAATGGGTCTGAGAGCCCGTTGTTGTCCATCGCAGCTAGATCGCTTGCTTTACTGAGACAAAACAGTGTTATCCTATAAGTTAGAAAGTTTGTTGGAAAATTAACGTTGTACTCGGCACTCGGCTTGTACTTGTCGGGGTCGTTCTGATAACTACCTTTTTGTATTTCCAAAAGTTAATAAAGGAAATCTTATGAAGGAAAGAAAAGTGCCTGACACGGAACAATCAGAACCTCTCTCTTAGCACCATATATCAGTATGTGGTAAATGTAGAAAATGTATAAAATCATACATTATCTCCAAAGTGATTCTGTAGCACTCATCGTCTGCCAACACTTCTTGAGTTATATCAAAGTTATCTGGTATCTCACTGATATCCAATATCTCCACATCGGGCTCGTCTTTTTTTCCCCATCCTGTAAACCTGAGATTGTTAGTTAGTTAGATAGTTGGAGTTCTGTACAGGTTAGTTAGTTAGATAGATGTAGTTCTGTATACTGTACAGGTTAGTTAGTTAGATAGTTGGAGTTCTGTATACTGTATAGGTTAATTAGTTAGTTAGTAAAAGTTCTGTATATACGCGCGATCTTTTGTGTTGCTCGGATAGCTATATTTATCACATACCTTAATTTATCACATGGGATAATAAGGTATATCATTTAATGTTACATGATATACTAAACGTAGAATGATGTTGGCTTATGATCGTGATAGTTCTCGTGATAGTTCTCTGCTATCATGATGTAGTGCAATATAAAAACTTCACACTATCGTTGAATCATGAAAACATTATTTGATTGCGAACATGCTGTATCATGCTAAGGTACAAGAAGTGATGAAGTAAGTTGGAAGTTTGCAAACATAATTTGAGCACCTTTTAGCAAATTCAGAAGCCTCGTCCTCGAGGGAAGAAAAGGTTTTCAAGACGTTCTCAAAAACATCCTCGACGTCATCACCTATGTTTTTAAACACGTTCGCAGGAGAACCAGGAGAATCAGGAGGTGCTTCCTCCGCAAAACTTCCTACAAACTCCCCGCCCTCAGGATCAGGAGTATCAGCTGATTTGGGTGGTTGTTCAAGGTTCGGAGCGGAGTCTGGTGTAGAGTTTGGCAAGGTTGTTAAAACAGACCCGTTTGTATTGCTGTCGGTAGCAACTAATGGAAGGGCCGCGCTCTGATCGAGCTTGTCATCTTCTGAAATAGTCTGCTTCGTTTCGTCTGACGCAAACATTTTGGCGTCCGGGTCATGTCCTTTCCGTGTCATGTCCGTGTCATGTCCTTTCCTTTTCAAAGAATCTAACCAATCAAACATGGACATATCAGCAGGGTTTTGCCTCTTCTGTTGCTTTGCGACATAAAACTTGACTCGTTCAATCACACCTATGTCAAAACAGGCGCAGGGTAACATGGTGACGGTGACATTTTGTCAGATGATAGAAGTGTCAAAGTAAGTAAAGAAAACCACGCCTCATATCGAAAGTGTTCAAAATAAGCTGACTGTTTGAAAAGCGAACAAAAACCTCTACATATAAGCTACTATGCGGCCTTATATAACACGCGTTGAGTGCCTTTGTTGAGACCAGTTTATCGCGTGAGAACAAAGGGTCTTATCACAGCTGGTTTATTTATGTTCACTTGACTAGATGTATAACATAAGGTAATGAGCCATATTTTAGCATCATTTTATTTCATAAGCCTGCACACACCTGTGTACACATATAGATTACACATTATTCTAGGAGACATCAGATTTTGTAATCTTCATTATGTATTTTGACTAAAGAACACTTGAACAGAAAGCACATTGAACAGTGTATGGTACGGTACTAATAACAACAACAAGTTGGTGCTACTGAACTATCACTGGAAGCGGAGTTGGGAGGGTCAAGTTTCATTTGTCTAAAAGTCGTGACCGTCTCCCGTGAGGCAGCAGGGATCACAGTGGAACAGTGACGTGATATAGCAGTCTATTATTAGTCACGTGTTATAACAGACTATTAACACTTTAACAGTGACGTGATATAGCAGTCTATTATCAGTTCTATGATATTGGACGTTATTTGACCAGACATTCATGCATGAACGGACACAATTTCTAACGGACATTAACATAAACGCCAGGGCCTCCAGCGTCCAATTAATGTCCGTTCAAACAAAGTCCAATAAGGTGTTATATATCAGCCACTGATCCGAAACCCTAAACATTATCCTAAACCTAACCGAATTATCACATGATGTTTACAAGAGATTGCTTTAGAAGGGAGCTGGAATTACATTACTTAGCTATTAATGAAGATTTAGTGCAATTATCATCCTATTATAGTATTATCATGTTATTGTCATTCTTAGGGTAACCCTCATGGAAACTGATCAATACAAATGTATGTTGTACTCAAGTCTTTATCACCTGCTTCACTTAAACTAACGAACTTAGATTAGACTAACGAACTAAGCTTGCTATTTTACATTGTTCAATATTTTTGTTACAAGGACCGACAATTTTAGGCATATTGCAAATATATTTTACCCGTACAATTTACAAATAATTCATCGAGGCAGAGCTAATCGTTGATCTCGCCAAGTGTCCATATCAAACCCCAACCACACTTGCTCCTTCACAAACACAACCACAATATTCCCTTATTTGGGCATCACGTGGTTATTCCATTACGCTACCAGCACACTGTTCTCTGAGAAAATCCTTCTTCTCTAGTAATGCTTTTCAAACAAAGTTACAACGTATTCTTCATGTACTGCATCCTGGGTTTGGACAGGATATGCCCGTTTAAAATATTTCCATCACGTTACATTACATAATTGTTAATAAAGGTAATAGATCTGTAGTGTTGTAATTAGTTTAAAACTATGTTATTGAGTGTGTTCGATAAACCCGACTAGAAACCATTATATTTATTCATATTGGACGAAGTTTGAGCTCAACACACACAGAATTGATAAAAGATGCAATATGATGGCGGCGAACAACGGCATTCTTCAGAACGTTCTGGCTAAAATGACACATGAGTCCAATCACAAAACGTATTCATTAATGGTTTTGCGTAAAAGTTCGTGCACAGCAAATTGGGATGCTAAGAACATTGTTTGCCAACTGAAAATGGTGAGCAGCGGAAAAGCTCAGATAAAGTTGAAGCAGATACCCGTCTCACTTTGATACTATGAAGCATTTATGCATGCAAGCTGTATTCACGATAAACACTAAAGCGGATTTCAATGTCGAAACAATCTGCTCGCAGATATGATGTTATTCTGTTTGGTTTCTAGTTATATCATGTACAATATACATTACCTTATCGGACCTTATTTGGACGGACATTAATTGAACGCTGGAGGCTCTAACGTTCATCTTAATGTCCGTTCAAATAAAGTCCGTTCATTTAAGGTCCGTCCAAGTTAAATTCCGTTGAATTTTTTTCAAAACTTTTTCCACTTCGAACTTTTTGTCCAGAATATGACAAGACGTGACAACTATGAGAACTTTATGTGCCGTAAGTTAACGACGGAAAGGGTGCAGGATATGCAGCTTGACAAAATACCGGTGGAAATTATTTCGTAGTCCCTAAAATGACTCCTCCAGATCCAGTCTTAACCTTAAATTGGACATAACTCCCTAGGTGAAGTAACTCTGATACGTAATAACATACCATGTTGTACTAACTAGACCATGTTTTAGGTACTAACTTAGATATGTTGTTTAGCCCCTTATATGCGTCTCCAAGCATTCCCCCACTTTGCTCCTCATTTTCTACTGTTTCTTCCTCCTCTCCCTCATTCCGCCTCTGCAAATAAATTATCATTACACCTTAATTGATAAAACTTAATAAATTAATAAAGTTATAAAGCTGGTACAATGGTGTGGGATATAAGTGTTTCATAGTGAAGATGTAAAACATTTATCACAATTGCCACCACATTGGCGTATCCTGCAGCAGCAGGTACAAAAGGATTTCGCGATTATTTTGGCCAAAAATCGCGGTACCGCGAAATTTAACAAGCTATACATTAAACTATACATAAAATTTGTCGCGGAGAATGGGAAATTTCGCGATTTCGTACATGCCGCGAAATCCTTTTGTCCTTGTGCAGCAGCTGGTTAAAACACTTGATTCAGTGAAATGAGTATTTAATTTAAGATCGTAATAATTTATTGATGGACGATGTTCACCATTATGCTTATGATCCTGCTACTCAAAAGCTTCATCAGCGAAGCAAGGTAAAACGTAAATGTGCGGCGCGAAGAAGCAACATAAACAACTTATTAACATTATAAATAACTAGTAACTTAATCAAGTTGTTAATTAGTCGACCTTGATATTGATAAGAGCGACAGATTTGCAGCGCCAGAATTTCTTCTTGAGGCTAGATCTGGGCATAAAGCAGGTACCAAAATATAAAAACTATCGCATGTGAAACTATTCCACCAAACAATATTAACGTTAAACATTGGAATAATGTAATGACAATGGGATCTAATTGAGAGAACAATTAATCGCCAAGTCTGATAGTTATTTGCACATTAGTGATGTGACATGGGTGGATTATAGTAATTAGCAAGGGAAGATTCACCCATCAGTATTATAGCTGGAGAGAGGAAATGATGTTCAAGCTGAACGGTGCTTATATATTAATTATAAACGGTGTTAATTACATGGTTTTATACCTTGCGTATCTTTCGTATCAATATTGCATAACAATTGCTGCACATCTAACTCTCACATGCCTTTCTGTTGAAGTTACTTCGACGATATCAACAAACTAAGTTATAAGCAAAAGTAAGCTTTTTAAGAGAAACCCGCATGTATGAGCCAATGATAAAACATGATATTGCAGACTGTAAAATACATGTTATACAATTTTATACGTAGTTAGCTTTCATAGAACTATCCAATATTAGCTGCACATAGTTGTACATATCTTTATATTTTTAAAATCCTCAATATCAGAGACTATCCGAATAAATTCTAATTTTATCTCTATCAAGTCAATGCAATTAGAAATGTCAGCTGATGGTTCACATTAAGCATATAACAATTAAACTAGCAAATAAAATAATCTTCAGTACTATAAAGTTAGCCCTATCTTGGTAATCATAAATAAAAGGCTATTTATAACGGTGGTCTGAGGTGGCATAGAACATCAATCTAGAGCAAAAAAGAAATAAAACTTACATCTTGAGTTCATGAGACACAAACCACTACAGATTAAGCAAGTGTAAATGATGATACCTCAACATTTATAAACTAAGCTGCAACTATTTATAAAATAATATTTATAAAAATCTTTAAATAAACAGTTTACAAATAAGTATAACTTTTATTCAGAGAGTCTTAATTATCCGCAATTGCAAATATAAGTTCTTCTACAGAACAAGCGGACTTAATTAGCCCAGTCTTATTAAAGTATTAATATAAAAATCACTGCTCAGCTCATATAAGGGCCATTTATTTTTTAGAACAGGCCTCAATGTTTACTAAATTAAAATAGAGATGTAATTGCACACTAGACTATAATTAGATACTTTGCATCCTACACTGTACACACTTGATAATGAAAATCTATATTTAAGATTAATAGATAGTTCTTCTGAACATGACACTGCATACTGGAATTATATGACTTGAGGAAAAGCAATTCCTCTGTCCTTTACATCGACAAAATATTCACCTAGCCATCAGTGAGAGTCTACGCGTCGGCGGTCACGCGCTACTGCAAGCGAGAGGGCTCTGGATACTGATAGAGCAAGACAAAATAGTCCATAAGAAGCTTACACGTTAACTATAGCCACACGATCAGATGTTGACAAAATTAAAAACTTTTTTTCAGATCTTCTGAACCGATGGATGGTTTAATTTTGAATGTGAACCATTAACATTATTCATTAGAGCAGAACTATATGTTTTGAACTCGGATTTGATTGAGTCCTCATTTGAAGTTTTGAGCGAGATGTTTACAGCGTCGATTTATTGTTTCCAGCACTCTACTGCCCTGACTGCAAGAATGATTTTATACTGCGTTCCCTACGCTAAACCAAGACATGGTCGTGTAACCCAGTTCCCTACGCTAAAACAAGACATGGTCGTGTAACCCAGTTCCCTACGCTAAACCAAGACATGGTTGTGTAAGTACCCAGTTCCCTACGCTAAACCAAGACATGGTCGTGTAACCCAGTTCCCTACGCTAAACCAAGACATGGTCGTGTGACGTGTAACCCAGTTCCCTACGCTAAACCAAGACATGGTTGTGTAACCCAGTTCCCTACGCTAAACCAAGACATGGTCGTGTAACCCAGTTCCCTACGCTAAACCAAGACATGGTCGTGTAACCCAGTTCCCTACGCTAAACCAAGACATGGTTGTGTAACCCAGTTCCCTACGCTAAACCAAGATATGGTCGTGTAACCCAATTCCCTACGCTAAATCAAGACATGGTTGTGTAACCCAGTTCCCTACGCTAAACCAAGACATGGTCGTGTTACCCAGTTCCCTACGCTAAACCAAGACATGGTCGTGTAACCCAGTTCCCTACGCTAAACCA